AACACCCCCAAAAAAACATGGTGGATGTATAATAGAAGGGATAAAACCACTTATTTGGGACCATAGAAAGGGGGCGGTTAATATGAATGGGGGATGGGATTCTTTAGATTTATGATGATCTATGATTTTTGATCTGGTTGGTGGTTTGGAACATGAATTTTATTTTCCATAATATATGGGATAATCCTTCCCATTGACTCATATTTTTCAAGATGGTTAAAACCACCAACCAGATGATTTTTTTTCCTTTTTCCTTGGTAGTTAAACCTAGCACTACTTTACTTACCTTGTGGATTGGCCAAGCTCCTCTCGGGAGATCTCAGCACACTCTATGTATATGTGTGATTGTATGCGTATGCAAGTATCTATATTGTATCTATATTTTTTTGTATCTTGCATATACATTTACTATACATATATTATAGTCTGAGTCTATTATATAATAATATAATAATATATATAATGTTTTTTTCAATCCCGCAAATAAATAGAGAGTTTGATCCACACCCCTTGCGACGCGAGGAATTCCTGCAGTTGCAACAGGATGGGAAGCTCATCTATGGACAGCTGCCCTTGCTGGAAATCGATGGCTTGAAACTTGTGCAGTCACAGGTGGCTCAGCATTTTTTTGAATCCTGCAAGGATGTGCCAAGAAAAGTTCTTTTTTTTCAAATGGGTGCTTTGCAGTTCCAGTTGTAAGTGGATGTCTAAGAATAGTTATAGGGGTTATATTCCGACTTATTCATGGTGGTACTTGCCGTCGTTGTATCCTAATAACGCCAACTGCACCCCCAAGTATGGCTCAGAATCGTGGGATACCCTATTCTTAGAGGGACAAATTAGGATCAACCATTATTCAACCATGAGTTTTTGGGGTGCACTATTTCCAGACAAACGCACATAGGTATTGCTCAAAATTATTGCCCCCCAAAAGATGGATGGTTTGAGGTGGCACATTCACAACTCTGTGGGTCCATTGGCAGCGTTGTTTTTGGGTCCCCAGATCCACAGGGTTCTATTTGTTGCGTCCTCCTACTTCACAGTACATGTGTCCAAAATGGGGTATACCGGGTATGCTCTCAACATGGGGATTTCAATGCGAAAATGATGATCAACGATCAACCTTGGGGTACTATATTTTGTTAGACAGTCGACTCAGTCTACCCAAAAAATACCCTGTTTTTAGGTTCATAGCCACTTTCATGTGGTGAAACCAATCAGGACATTTGGGGATGGTCATATTTTGAACCTTTTTTTTGGCAAATTTTAAACCACCATATTTTGAGCCCGGCATGAGGTTTGTTGTTGGCCTTAGCACATTGATCCCATCTCCCGCCAATATTAACCACAGCCCCATAAACCATGCTTTAGTAGGGTATGAAACCAGATACCCTCTGGTAAACTTATGGAAAATCACCATTTTTAAAAGGCAAATCAACTATAGATGGCAATTTTCAATAGCTATGTTAAATTACCAGAGGGTATTCGGGACCATTTTGGATACCGGTGTCCTCCCCGGTGTCGTTCAACGTGTGGTTGATCGTTCAACGAAGAACCGGTGCCAGGCCATGGTACGATACGTCGCGCAGCGCGGAAAGCTCTGGGGAACCTCACCCGAGGAGTCGGTGCTGGTCGACATGATCGCCGAGGGGATCAAAGATGCCCGAGGTGAGCTGGGGGCGAAGATGGATCGTGAACTGCTGTTGAAAACGTCGGGGAAGTTCGTCATCAAAGTGGTGAATGGAAATGATATGAAATGATTAATATGTACGATATATATATATATATATATAAATATGTATCTTGAAAATCTAGAAAACTGTAGGGGAAGTGAAGTTCATTAAGCATTATTAAGCCAAAGAAAAGAGACCGTTGGATATAGATCTAACCCCCAAATGGAGAGCCTATTGAGATGGGCTTGGGTAACGTCCCACAACCGCCACAGCAGTGTGGCATAGCAGATCCTGGTACCTTGCAGCAGGAACCGAATTGCTTACCACACATAGATTTATGTCATATTACAGTATACCCTCTGGTAATTTAACATATAGCTATTGAAAATGGCCATAGAAATAGTGGATTTTCCCATTAATAATGGCCATTTTCAATAGCGACGTTAAATTACCAGAGGGTATACAATCTATGATCATTAAATGATGTATATATATATATTATATGCTTCTGCAATATAGGTATTGCATTCGATTGTTCCCTATATTTTTTGCATGAAAGACAACATGTGATTTCCTCCCCTGGCGGTTGGATTGTCGGCAGAGTTTGGTAAACGTCGTTGACCCGTCAGCAGGTATTGTCGTGAGCTTTCCCTTTAGCGTTGAGCAGGCGTGGTTTTTGTCGCGAGGATTTCTCACCTGGATTACGATAAAAGCCACAGATGAATTTCAGAAAAACACTTGACAATAGGCATCAATAAACAGATATAACTGGACCATAATTCTTGAAGTCAGTTTCTTGGGGTTCCCTGTTGATATAGGACTTTCGTAAGATATGCATAGATATTCCAGTTTTGACCAATGGATTGGGCAATGTGTATATTTCTGCAAAACTGTATTTCTTTCTGCTACCCTGGAGACCCGCGATCATTCCCTGGGTGTTCCAGATCCCCCCGGGAGGGTTACCAGCTATTTCGGTGTAAAAATCAAGGCACCATGTTAAACTGACGCATGATTTAGTAATAGTAATAGTACCATGATTTAGTGGATGATATTTAGTTAAACCTAACTCAGATGAGAAACGACGAAATTATTGTAATACTCATTTAGTTTTGCTTCGCCTTGGCCTTTCCGAGGGTGCACAAGACCTTCATAACCGATAGGGCATGACCCTATACCGATACCCCATTTGTGATACCTCCGGGAATACTGAAATCCTTACAACCGATAGGGGACGACCCTAATTGTGCATGCCATTAAATTTAACATATAAGTTTGTCCGTTACTCAGATGAACAAACATGTTTCAAAATCATTCTCACATATTCCGACAATCACCCAAACATGTTGATTTCTCAAGAGTCATACATGTATATTATATATAATTATGATTAATTAATATTAATTATATAGTATATAGATGATTATATATATATATATGTTTTGACTTTTTCTCGGCAAATTCCAATTCTCATCTATTGTGTACTTCATACTCCCAAGATGCCAACTAAGTTGGGTGGCTAATTCCAATGTTTTGATCAAGGTCTGTTGCTTTTTCAATAATAACCCCCCAACAAGTCGTTGATCAAGGCTTCCCAAAATTGGTTCCCCTTCACTTGGAAACAACTATGGTTTCTAAAAAAATATCCGTTGAACTCTGGGTCTCCTCACCACGAACAAAGCAGCCGAACGGCTGACAATGAAGTCCCCCAAGGATTATGATATGTTTTTCTATTTAAGTGGCTATTGTCTTGGGGTAAATCCACCATTTTTGGGGCAGACCCATATTTGAGGTGTTTCTATCTACACCCATGTCTATTCGTCGTTGAAACTTGTTTCATTTTTCGACAGTTTCCATGCTTTTTGAAAATAGGGTCCACTCCCTCAATCCAGTACGTTATCTTCATGCTCCCAGTTAAAATTGCAGTGGACAAACCCACATAAAATAGTGTGAATCTTATATATCTTATAATATATCTCATTTGCACCCCATCATATTCTGACTATCTCCATGATGCAATTTTTGAAACCCCAAGTCTTGATGCTAAAACCACATATATTTGTTGTTTAAACCTTTATTTTGGCGGATGAATCCAATTAATCCAGAATCTTAAACCATCATTCAAATCATGTTTAGACCATGATTTCTGCTGGAAAAAACACATTTCTATAGATCCCTATATATAGGTCCCAGACCCTAAAAACGTCGCGAAAAACGGAGGAGAGCTTAGTGGCGGAGATCCCCATGCGGACCAAGAAGCAACTGGGACCCCTGGAGTCCATGATCCATTCGGACGAGGACGGCCCCTTGGACGTCAACGAAAAAGGGCTTTTGGGCGGCCTTTTTGGAGGTGGAAAATTGTAGAAATGCCCTGAAAATTGGATAAAATGGGTGGTTTTGATTGGGTTTTAACATGGTTTCAGCATGAAAAATGGTGGATGTTGTCGCCAAGATTTGGGCATTAACCAACGACTTTAACGTGCTTTAACCATCAAGAATTGGAGGTCAACCATGAAACAGCTTGGGGAAGTCAACCAATATTTAAGATAATGGCGATATATTAGGGTATAACTAACCAACAGGGATGCTTTTTGAACCTACAATGACTTTGACAAAGTTATGGGAGTTTACAGGCAACCAGTTTATAGAAATGTAATGATAAACATTATATGATAACCAAGTCAACCAACATTATATCATGTTTATATGTACATGTATACATATACTGTATATATATACACATGTTTATGTATATATATATAAAGATATGTATATACATATATATATATACATGGGTGTGTCTGGAAATGGGGGATTGACGCGCACTCCATTGCATTTTTCATAGCAATAATGATTTTCTGAACCAGTGGATTTAGGCATTTTGAGACACACTTCTGGTTCCGGAATGGAGGATGGGTGGTGGATTGTATTTCCTGAACATAATGATGATATAAGAATGCTGGTTATTTTAACAACCAATCATGGACATTGCTTTCAGTAGTTTTTTGATCATTAGCCTAGAGTATATGTATATATATACACACATATATATATATATACAAATACAACATTAGAGAACCACATCTGCGTAAGCTGTTCATTTTTCCCAAGCCCTGAGGGATGCGATCCTAACTTGCTGTTTTTCTGACTGTTGCCAAGGATCGACCCAAAAAATCACAAGCCGTCACTTCTCGCAGTGTTTCCATAGTTCTGATGTGTTAAGAACAGGATTCCCATTACCCATAGGATCCATGTATGCTATATATGGTATCATTTACCATCAATATACCCCAAATATCCCCAAATGTTAGCATATATACCAGCACCATGGATCCTATGGGTAATGGATTATAACCATTCCCAATACACAAAGGGTAGTAGAAGAACACCCGAAAAAGTCACTGCTCAACTATTATGCCGGTATAAACGACCCCATTAAACTGCTGATGTTTAAGGTTCCTTTCAGCATTCAGTGAAAGTCCAAACATTCTAATCATCATTATTCCCGTGCTCAACTGTACTCTATCCTGTTTGCCTACACCTTACAATTGTATTATCTACATGTATTCTATACAGATATCAGATTGCAGAAGGATACAGTCTGCACCCTACAGAGTCAGAGCGGACAAGTTGGGTTCTACTGATTTGTAGACTGAAATTTCATTCCTTTCGTAGCCATTGGTTACATTGGTTTCTAGCCATCTCCTGCCATAGTTCTGGTTGAATGCAACATGCCTGACGTGGAAAACCCTGTGTTTGGGGGTTTTGTGCCAAGGTAGCCTGGGATTTCTCCTATCCGGTCTCTCTGCAGCAGATATCTTGCCACTTGGCTGAGCTGGGGAGGGTTTCAGTCAGGGGGGATTTGTTCGTTAAGGAGTGACTGTGGAGGTTGACTCATGGTGACTCCCTACCTTTTTTAGTTGTCTCCTCCATGTTCAATACTGTTCAATGGTTGAGTGCCCCTGAAAAATATCCGGATTCTTCTTGGTTTTCTCTCCCATATCATCTCATTGCAGCGATGTGACAGGCTAGCTGAACTGGCAGAAGAGCCACTTGGTGCTGACAGCAAAACGACAGGCACACAATGCAGGTGTGGCTTGAAACAATCAAACATGGCTTACTGCAATTTCCCCATTTCTGGATGATTTTCCCATCAAAACCTCCATTTTTTTAGTTCGGAAATTTCCCAGCCATGTTTGATATTTTGATTCCCGGAGGGTAGATGAACGCCCCAAGTCTCTTCAACCCGTTTTCAGGATCTTGAGTAGGGGTACTGTCCAGGGCGTTGACCCAGCATCATCCTTTGAAACGTACATAGGAATGGGTCCACTTGTTTGAGTTGCGAGTGTATCTTAAGTATCTTAAGCAATCTCTTGGATCGTATAATCTTGACCAATTCGTGTGTCTAAGAAGTAAGGGAAAAACACGTCCAACGGATTTTGGTCGTGATTCTCGATATTTAACTCTATTTATATAGATCGCCCTTAAAATGGCTAATGATCCCCCAGTTCTGCGTCCAAACTCATCGTGTTGATGAGTTTAGCCGGCAAGCTGCAGCTGCAGAAAACTTATCGCAGGGAGCAGTTCTGAAACACAGCTAATGATGATACGATACTGACATAATCTCTTACTTCGTACTTATACTGTATTATTTCTGATCATATCTGTATATATACATATGCAATTAGAGCCTCATCATGAGAGGTAGGCCATACAGGTTTGCAGGTGTCACTACATACAATACACAAATGCATCTGTAGTATACCTCACAAACCACAGTGGCAAATTTACCGGCATCCCTGTTCACTTGCCCAGTAGATGTAGCGACTAGTGACTAGAGGTGCAATGGTTAAGGCTAAGGTCCTATAATGACATGCCTGACATACAAAGCAGGTGCCTCCCAAGCAAGTCATTAAAAACAAAAACTAAAAACAAAAAATAGCATAGTTTTTTGACATGAGGGACAACATGGTTTTTGGGGCCTGACGCTGCAAAAAGGCTCAGTGGCTAAATGTATATCATAATTTGACTGATTACTTCATATACATATGCGCTCACTGGAGATCCGGTCAGCTGGGTTCAGAACGCAGGAACATTCGCTCATTTCGGACACCGAAGCAAAACTAGCTAGGCTACATCACTTTCATGCAAGTTAGTTGTCTTTATTTGTCTTTAGATGTTCATCATTCTACTGTATGCTTGCAGCTCCCAGATTGCATTCTCATCGTCCTCAATAATCAAGGCAGCTAGCACCACCCACAATCAATAGCTGCAACTCATACAGTCAACATGTTGAACATTTATGTTGCATTTGCAGACACCAAAGTCAGATTGCTCAAGACCAGAGCCGGCGATGATCCGTAGGTCTTCTGCCATCACTGAGGTTAACAGAGATGAGTCCAGGGGCGCTTTCTGGATATCCCAAGATTTCAAAGCTTCACAAGCAGGTTGGGTCAGAGCTGAGGAGTGCTGGGCGAAGCCTGCTGGTGAATTTTGATAGGGTTCTACAGTTCTACCTGACTACAGTTGTAACCGTTGTAACCCGTAAAAGTTGGGTAGTCTACCAGTTGAAATGGGGTACTGTAACGGAAACTCGTTGCAAGCAAGATGTTGAAGCCGATCATTGCGGCTGAGCAGCGACAGGTTTACCCCGCATAGGTCGGGGAAAAGAGTCAGGAATTGATAGGGGAATGATTCGGCATAAATTCTTTGATCAAATCCCGAAATGCTGACATCATCCCCAAGGGATGAGGGGTTGAAGGGTTTAGTTGAATTGCTACGCCAGCTGCAGATCATTGATTTTGGATCTATCAGAAAATAGGTCCCAAAACATGGAAGACTCGCAACTGTTTCTGTCCAGCCGGGCCCTAACATGTCCATGACCCAACTTAGCAGTGCTTGCATTCCTACCTTACATGACCTTGATAATGTATGATAATGTGGTAAACCCGATGATACACCTCTAGGTGGGGATGGTTTACACATGTTTTTACTATAATAATACCACCTATTTCTGGTAAGTCATGTGGGATATATTATGGCTCTACCACTCCAACAACTAGCCCCCTTGGGAGTTTTGCCAGGTGACAGCCCTGCCACAGATTCGGGCGTATTTGGAGGGCCCGAAACGATATCCCTTTCCTAGGGGAGAAGTGGGTTGGAGCCTCAGAGTGATATATAGCAGTTAGTTCTCCTTTTCCTGTTGACAGTTGCCATTTTGATCCGTTTTGGGAATACATATTGGGAATATAATGGAATATACCAACCATCATAATCTATCATGGGATATATCATCAATATGATGTGGCTTTGCCGTTGCCATTTGAAGCGCTTCGCTTTGGCTTTGCGCCACAGCCAGGCCGGGTCTACGTGCAGAACGTCAACGCGGTGCTGGGCCGGTGATCCGGCGAGGCCAGTGTTTCGGGGACACCAAGATTGAGAAACAGACAGAACCAGATTTGAACCAAGGGTCACAACTTAGATCTTCATATTAGATTATTATGTAAATTGTCAGAGTTGATGTGTGCGACCTCTGCCAATAGCATGCCCCTTTTACAGTAGACGGTTTCACTACATCACTGGATGCCGTGGACTGTTTCCTGGTCAAGGATTTTGGGATATGCGTTTGGGATCCTTTGGGTGCACGATTTTCGTGGCCCACAACAATCCCACAAGGCCTCGTTTGGGGTTTTGTGGAACCATTTGATGGCCTGTTGCTAGGTGAGTGCTTGGTCCATCTTGGGACGATGATCTTAATTGACTGCTACACGCAGAATGACAACGAACGCAAAGAGAAATCTAAGTACTAAAAATGTCTTGAGAGGAAGAGGGAGAAGAATAACGATAATCAATAGGGGGGATCAGAATAAGTGTTTGCGTGGAATTCCTCATTTCAAGTTTAGAGATGATCCACTTGAAATAACATGAGATGGATTGAAGCAACCAAACAGGTCGTCATTGATGTTTTTCACCAGTGATCCTCCCTGTGGTCGCCCATACGTCTGTCATCCCGCGCTGTTGCAGGTTCGCCGAACACGCTCGAACACTGCGGCGACAGCTTCTGCGGACGGCGGAAAAAGAGGGAACGCTGATGAACGCAGTATTTGTGGAGGAAATGAGTTTGTAGATAGCAGTTTCTTGGTAGATCTTGGTGAATGGATGGTTGATCAGCTAGATTCTAGGATAAGATAGGATAAGCATGTATGGAGAAAATGTACTCATCGTTGAGGTATCCCAAGGCTGTTCATGTTTTGCAGGTATCCCTTGATGAGATCGGGCTCGCTGAGGTGAAATATGGCAAGCCGGCGTCCAATCTCTTCGTGGCTTGGAGTGGGAGGATCTTGGGAGTTTGTTGCATGGTAGGTGGGTCAAAAAACATGTTCCCACCCACAAAACCCTGGGGGTGATATGATGTTTCACACAATTATTGTTTTGTCTACTGTACTTTTGACAGTTTCTAATATATCCATTTTTGTTCTTAACAATGTTTTAACCAATTTTACCCGTTAGATTTATTTACTATAGTTACTAGTTAGAAACATCATCTCAGTGCTGAACACCTATGCCGCACCCATTTTTTTTGGGATGGCGAAACTTGGCGCCCTTGGACGAGCGCGTCTCAGGTCGGCCTGGCCAACAGTGCGCAAGGCATCTTGTTGGGCCCCCAAAACGAGCCGGTCGCGACGGCCGTTGCCGCCATCATCCAAGATCCATTGAGACTTGGATAGCCAATATACATGAATATACATCAATAATTGATATATACCAATATTTGAATACATTGAGACTTGGATGTATATATATATATAATTGATATATCAATATCAATTATAGATAGCCAATTGTATATTAATACCACCATTATACATCAATATACCCACCAGAAAATCATGGCACAGAATGGGATTTTCACGTTCATCCAGGTCAATTCTACTGATGCCGGGGATCCGAAAAAAAAGGGCGGGCAGTCTACAGGGCGGGGGCATAGGATTCCACCAGGCGATGTATGATATTTCACTAGATATTAATAAGTACAATATATATATAATATATACTATATGGGATTCCACCACTAGATACATACATATACTATCATATACTAATATATCACCATAACTCAATAATGATGTGATAATGGGGTACCCCAATAATCTAGTTGATTAATATGTTCAATATATATATATAATATATAATATATATATAATATATATATATAATATATATATATATATGTATAGTTGATGGTGATTATATCATAGTCATGGGGGTACCCCAATGGCTGGATGGTTTATTTCATGGAAAATCCTATACTGGTTGGTGGTTTGGAACATGGCTGCTATATGACTTTCCATTCAGTTGGGAATGGAATAATCATCCCAACTGACGAACTCATATTTTTCAGAGGGGTTGAAGCCACCAACCAGTATAAGCTACATAATATGTCTATTTATAACTACATTGAAAATATGATGTGTGAGGCAATTGGTGCAGAAATTGTTTGTTGATCGGTTACTTTGGTTGCTCTGAATGAAAACAAAGGCTTTTTTTTTCAATGTGTTTGCTCTTTTTTTTTTAAATGGTTCTCCTATGCCGCCTATTTTATTTGGGAAGATTATAACTCGGGGACCAGCATAAGTGGGAATCAAAGATCTGCAGACGGGGATGACACAGCACTGAGGTATCCCATTGGCTGGATCGGAGACAAGACCAATCGCCCCTGGACAGACATGATGGCCATTTAGAATCGATACCTATTCAAGTTTTATAAGGTACATATCATGGGGGCATCCATTACGTTGGGATATATATCTATATGGTATCTATGCTGGCAGCATGAACGAAGAGGAAGAAATCCATACCTTTGCAGCTTCAAGGCTACTATTTGCTGCGTTGGAACGTGCTGGTCGCGGCCATTTCAGGCCGCATTGGCAGGACCAAAGCTGGCATCCATGATTTCGAAGGAAACAACTGGCTATAGAAATGCTTAGGGCTCAGAGATGCCCAGAGTTTTTGGTCGCGGTTCGCATATGGGTGTGTCTGAAAATAGTGTAATTACCCCTAAACCCAATGGTTAATGATCATTATCCCTATTAAATGGCTATAATTGGGAATATACCCTATTTTCAGACAAACCCATATTCGACCCTTCATCTTTTGTGTGTATCAATTGTTGACCCGCAGATACTGGGGATAGAACGGATACAAATGAACGGAAGATAAAAAAGCGGCATAATCATAGAAGATAATAGATAACAATTGGTGTGTCCAGAATTTCAAACGCTGTGGGAAATCACAAGTTCCAAGAGCTTTGTTTCCCACGTCTTTCTCTTGATTCAATATAGGTCATGATAAGGCGCCAGCGGAGCTCCTGGTTTTTCATCAAGCCGCCCATCAGGTCACCTTTTTTACACATCTCCAGACTGGATGACTGGATCCACGTTTCATCATGTTTCATCATGTTTGTTTTTTTTTCATATTTTCAGGGCCTATATAGCCTATATCCTAAATGAATAGGGACTAAATGGGGACTAAATAGGGACTAAAGATTGAAATCCACTCGCCCAATGGTAAAATCACATGGCTCCAGGTGTGGCAATGCTTGCAGCAGTGTACACCTCGAATTTGCTATGGCTCTTCATCGGCATTTGCATCTTCACCTGGCGTCTCGGCCGGGGAAATCCCCGAGGATCCTCAAACTGGGATTTAACCAACAAAAAACATGTTGTGTAAATGGTGATGTAATGGGATGCTAGATGGTGATATTAGACGAGTGATATAACCACCAATTATTTATAGCTGGGACATTGAACAAAAATAGGGATTTTTTCCAGGATTACCAGATGGTGACTTTAATTTGAAGATACTAGATTCTTAGATGATTTGAAGAGTGCAGTGAATCAACGCTCCGGTTTTGCCACCGGGAAAATCAGATGTTGTACCCCAAGGGCTGAATAGGTGCGGGAAGAAATAGTTGCCTTGTATCATTTTACTTGGTTAGTTGATACATACAGGTGGAAGACCGGCAGATACTGTGCGAGGGGCCAATTAGATCATTTGGCGTGTTTGAACTTGGAGTATCACTTCAATTTAGGGCGTTTCTTTTGAGTGAGAATGAGGTTTGAAGTTTGAAACTATCAAATTTGCGTTTTTTTCCAAATATTTTTAGTCAACCCCGTTTCAGACAACGCTAGCATTAAAGGCAATGCTCAAACAGCCCCTTATCATGCTGCTTTCTTGGAATACAGCTTCAATTCTAGCGAAAAACGTGTCCAAAATCCAGTAAAATCCCTGGATTTCAAGAAGTCTGATGATATCCAGGTACAGAAACCTAACACCACCTAATCAATTGAATCCAGACCAAATCTCTTTGTTTTATTAGTTTTACATAGTTTTATTGGAATTTGTTCGGAATTGACCTGGAATTTGTTCGCCTTCTGTTGAAATTGACCTGGAAATTGTGTGGAATTTGTTCTGGATTCTGCGTGGAGTTCGCTTGGATCTTTTGGGGAAATTGCTTAGTGTTTTTCTGGTACTCGTTTTTGTTTGGATTTGTCATTGAAATTGTTTGGATTATGGTAGGATTCCTTCGGAACGGTGCTGACAATAGCAGTGTTGACCCTTTGACCCATAGAGCCCATCAGGGGAATATACCCAGATTCACAGACTACACAGGCTATGCAGCTCCTCCGGACTCCTCCCAATCAACTAGATGCTCTCAACTTCTCAACAAAAACTGACTCACGGTACTCCAACATGTTTTCTTGTCGACGTTCATGAGGAAAATGATGATCAACCACTAAATCATCCACTTTCCATGATTTTCCACTTCTTTTTCTTTGATCAACCTCAGTCAAATGCTGATCTTCGGCAATTTTTCCCGAGAAAATTTGCCATGACTCGTAGGTACCAACAGACGATCTCTTCGACCATCTACGCCTGCTTGGCTGACAATGTCATTGGAGAACGCCGCACTCGAGCTGGCGCCACTTGGCTCTGAAACGGAAGCATCCCACGGTTTTTGGGAGGCACCACCTTGTGGTAGAATGAGGTGTGGCTTAACGAGTGGGTTTGAAAGAAATTATATAACAACATGTTTATTGATGTTGCTGGTTTTTAATGCCGAACTTGGAGGTAAGTCCCCAAAATTCAACCCAGTGTCAATTGTGGTGAGACGTCCTATTCAAAACAGCCCCCAACTATTGAGGAAATGATCTCCATTAAAGGTCTCTTAAACCAACAAAGTTCTATGGAAATGGCCATGTGTGAAGAGGTTGAAGTCATCTGTAAATGGGCCATCTAGAATCTATACCATAGCTATGTTAGTTTTTCTGAATGGTATTTACCAGCACTCTGGGAAGATGGGACATGCCTTGTAACTGGAGGTTTGGGGTAGTGATTTTTACGACCTGCTACAGTATACCCTCCACGACACAAACATGCCAACCGAAAAACACCAAACCCGTGGAAAATTAGGGTTAGTTTGAAAAAGGGGTGTCCAAAATTCCGGTGGTTATTTGCATTATCAGCATATATCAGCATTTTTCCAATCTAAGACCAATTTTTTTGGGTATACCGTATGCACCCTGTTCAGATGCACCCAAGTACATGATTTGCTTCTGTAAAACTAAATGTTGGTGATCTGGCAGTCAGACAGGTTTGTTTACTGAAGAACATCATCCAAATTGTTTGGGGTCCCAGTTTCAATGGACCTTATACCACTGTTTTCTGAGATTCTGGTGATGTTTGATGATGTTTGGATGTTGTTTTTTTTAGCCTCTCCCTAGACCCGCCAAGTATCCATGTTCAAATGGGCACAACATGGTAAAAGTCCCAAGATGTCCCACGGCATCATGGATTTACATAGATAATTATAGATCTGTGTGTATATATATAGACATATTGAATGTATATGATATATGATATATCTATGTAATCATTAATATCATTAATCACCCCGAAGTAGATAGAACATGGACATCTTTCAGAGATCCCTGGGGTCGACCCGGCCTCTCGGCAGGTGAACTACAAGACATTCTCCGCCGGAAACCGAGAGACATCCTGGGTGGTCTCGTCCAGGTTGTCACAGGGTTCTGGTTCTTCACAGAATCCACATGGATAAAAAAACGATGAAGCCCAGCCATGAGTCCATGATGTGTATGGAATTGTGAGTTTCAACGGTGGATTCACCATTTTTCATAAACCATCTATAACTACATGGTTAAATATGGTTAATCTATAACTACATCATAAACCATCTATAACTACATGGTTAATCATGGTTAATCTATAACTACATCATAAACCATATATAACTACATGGTTAATCATGGTTAATCTATAACTACATCATAAACCATCTATAACTACATGGTTAATCATGGTTAATCTATAACTACATCATAAACCATCTATGACTACATGGTTAATCATGGTTAATCTATAACTACATCATAAACCATCTATAACTACATGGTTAATCATGGTTAATCTATAACTACATCATAAACCATCTATAACTACATAGTTAATATTGGTTAATCTATAACTACATCATAAACCATCTATAACTACATGGTTAATATTGGTTAATCTATAACTACATCATAAACCATCTATAACTACATGGTTAATCATGGTTAATCTATAACTACATCATAAACCATCTATAACTACATGGTTAATCATGGTTAATCTATAACTACATCATAAACCATCTATAACTACATGGTTAATATTGGTTAATCTATAACTACATCATAAACCATCTATAACTACATGGTTAATATTGGTTAATCTATAACTACATCATAAACCATCTATAACTACATGGTTAATATTGGTTAATCTATAACTACATCATAAACCATCTATAACTACCATTTAATTTGGTTAATCCTTAACTACATCATAACCATCTATACCTACATGGGTTAATATTGGTTAATCTTAACTACATCATAAACCAATCTATCACTACCTGGTTAATATTGGTTAATCTATAACTACATCATAAACCATCTATAACTAACAGGTTAATATGGGTTATCTATAACTACAAATCAATAAACCATTCTATAAACTACATGGTCACATTGGTTTCTATAACTACATCATAAACCATCTATAACTACATGGTTAATATTGGTTAATCTATAACTACATCATAAACCATCTATAACTACATGGTTAATATTGGTTAATCTATAACTACATCATAAACCATCTATAACTACATGGTTAATATTGGTTAATCTATATAACTACATCATAAACCATCTATAACTACATGGTTAATATTGGTTAATCTATAACTACATCATAAACCATCTATAACTACATGGTTAATATTGGTTAATCTTTAACTACATCATAAACCATCTATAACTACATGGTTAATATTGGTTAATCTATAACTACATCATAAACCATCTATAACTACATGGTTAATATTGGTTAATCTATAACTACATCATAAACCATCTATAACTACATGGTTAATCATGGTTAATCTACAACTACATCATAAACCATCTATAACTACATGGTTAATCATGGTTAATCTACAACTACATCATAAACCATCTATAACTACATGGTTAATCATGGTTAATCTATAACTACATCATAAACCATCTATAACTACATGGTTAATCATGGTTAATCTATAACTACATCATAAACCATTTATAACTACATGGTTAATCATGGTTAATCTATAACTACATCATAAACCATCTATAACTACATGGTTAATCATGGTTAATCTATAACTACATCATAAACCATCTATAACTACATGGTTAATCATGGTTAATCTATAACTACATCATAAACCATCTATAACTACATGGTTAATATTGGTTAATCTATAACTACATCATAAACCATCTATAACTACATGGTTAATCATGGTTAATCTATAACTACATCATAAACCACCTATAACTACATGGTTAATCATGGTTAATCTATAACTACATCATAAACCATCTACAACTACATGGTTAATCATGGTTAATCTATAACTACATCATAAACCATCTATAACTACATGGTTAATATTGGTTAATCTATAACTACATCATAAACCATCTATAACTACATGGTTAATCATGGTTAATCTACAACTACATCATAAACCATCTATAACTACATGGTTAATCATGGTTAATCTACAACTACATCATAAACCATCTATAACTACATGGTTAATCATGGTTAATCTATAACTACATCATAAACCATCTATAACTACATGGTTAATCATGGTTAATCTATAACTACATCATAAACCATTTATAACTACATGGTTAATCATGGTTAATCTATAACTACATCATAAACCATCTATAACTACATGGTTAATCATGGTTAATCTATAACTACATCATAAACCATCTATAACTACATGGTTAATCATGGTTAATCTATAACTACATCATAAACCATCTATAACTTACCTGGTTAATCATGGTTAAATCTATAACTACATCATAACCTATATAACTACTGGTTACATCATGGTAATCTATAAACTACATCATAACCATCTATTAACTACATGTTAAGTCATGGTTAATCTATAACTACAACAAAATCTAAACATCTATAACTACATGGTTAATCATGTTAATCTTATAACTACACATAAACCATCTATAACTACATGTTAATCATGGTTAATCTATAGCTACATCATAACCCATCTATAACGACATGTTAATCATGATGGTTAATCTATTCTATAACTACATATAAACCATCTATAACTACATGGTTAATCATGGTTAATCTATAACTACATCATAAACCATCTATAACTACATGGTTAATCATGGTTAATCTATAACTACATCATAAACCATCTATAACTACATGGTTAATCATGGTTAATCTATAACTACATCATAAACCATCTATAACTACATGGTTAATCATGGTTAATCTACAACTACATCATAAACCATCTATAGCTACATGGTTAATCATGGTTAATCTATAACTACATCATAAACCATCTATAACTACATGGTTAATCATGGTTAATCTATAACTACATCATAAACCATCTATAACTACATGGTTAATCATGGTTAATTCTGATTAATCTACATGGATAACATGGATGGTTTTTCTAAACCATCCATGACGTTTCTATCACTGCATGACGCACACGCCGAGGCCCTGGCCATGTCCTTTGGCCCGGCCATCCAGCTCTGCGTGGTCTTTTGGGGTCCCAAGGAACAGGCGAAAGAAGAAGCGTCACTGGCTGGCCATGGATAGTACTCTCTGGTAAACTAACATAACTATGGAAAATCACCATTTTTGATGGGAAAATCCACTATAAATGGCAATTTTCAATAGCTATGTTAGTTTACCAGAGGGTACTGTATCAAACATGACGTGGTTTGGAACATGTTTTTTTCTCCATATATTGGGAAGAATACAGTAATCCCAAGTGACGAACTCCATCATTTTTCAGAGGGGTAGGTCAACCACCAACCAGATGAGTATAACGTGAATATGAACAAGGAGTATAATTGTATCATGAAGTATAGTGAGTAGGTGAATGTAAGTGAGTTACTTAGCAATATACTTGGCTTCAACGTGGCTTCAACGGTGTTTTTCTCGCTTCTTCAGTTGCGCCAAGCTGCACTGAAGCTTTGGTGACCCCCGGGACAGTTTCACCAGGGTCCTGTGATCCGCAGGATGCATGGAGCAGCTCGACCTTTGAATTACTGCTGCTGCCAGGCCGTTTTCACGACTGTGGAACCAGTGGAACCGTTGTATCAAACAGTTGTGTAAAATGAATCAAAATGACAACATAATGACAACAATACCCATAGGATCCATGTATGCTATAATTATATGGTGACATTTACCATCAATATACCCCAAATGTTAGCATATATACCAGCACCATGGATCCTATGGGAATATATTAGTGTATATATCTGGGATATCTCGGGTATCTGGGATAGATATGGATAGATATGGATACAACATATGACAACAATATGCAAGTATTTTAAAAAGTTCTAGATGGAACGTGATGGAACCTATCAGGATGAAGGCTTTACCATTCTGAATGATTTTTGTACCGACTCTCTGTGTTTCGAAGATCCGATGTTTTGCATCGCCATGGCGTAGATGGGTTTATCCCAAATCTGCAGCACCTTGGAGCTAGGAATTGTGAATGGAATCATTAGGAATCTAGCTCTTCATTGGGTTAGCTCAACCATTCAACAAAAAAACAAGCATTCTTATTCCATTCTTCACAATCCATCAGCACCCGTTTTTTTGTTAAAGGTAAAACAATGCAGAGCCAACATGAAGCTCCAGAGGCTCCAGAAACTCCAGAGGTTTCAACCGCTGCACAGGTTGGTTGTTGCTGCCGATGATTGGCGTGGCTGTCACCATGATGGTGCCCGTGGGAAAGGACACGGCTTTCTAGTGGCGGTCTCCGAGGAGAATCAACTATCAATGAATGTGTATGTCAAACATTGCGAAACATCACTAACAGGATTGATGTGATAGATGAGTTTACAACGATACAGTAGATGTACAGTAGGAAAAGACATACATTGATCATCATCGATACATCTGCGATATGATATGACATGATATCAAATAGACATATATGATGTCTAGAAACCTGCAACAAAAATGGACAAGTACTGTAACAACCTACAAAGAATGGCAAATTGAACAGAACCTTTTCTGCATCTTTGCCGGGGTTACTGTATACCTGCTTGCCATTTACATCCCCATTACATCTCCATTATGTTTGCTTGATACCTCCACCTTTCTTGACCCCAAATGATGGAAGTGTAGCTTCTGGTAATTTAAGATAGCAATTGGAAAGCCACCATTTCTACACTTGGTAAATCCTCGAACTAGCAGACCATACCTTCCATAGCACTGTGAAAAATTGCTGGAGGGTGGATCCCATACATAAACCGCAGATGAATCCAACTGATGGTGAATTTCCCCATATGAATCTCAAATCATGGATGTGTAGACCATCAGAATCCATTAGATCATCATTATCCCATTAAAAGCCATGAATGGGTCCATTGTAATCCCATGAACATGGGCTTGGTAGATCCTTCGTAGATCCTTCGTAGATTCGGCCATTTTTTGTGGGGCTTAGCTGACTTCCGCGGCTCGCAGGAGCTGAGTGAGATCCCCAATACGGAGCCTTGGGCGAGAGCTGGGGAGGATTTGTGAATCTCATTGGAAGTGTATATGATATTCGTATATATTAGTGTATATATCAGGGATATGTAGGATAGATATGGATAGATATGGATAGATAGGAAATATACGATATACATTTCCATATTATAGGATATATAGGATATGTAAGATGTATAGGATGTAAAGGATGTATATATCGGATATACACATGAGATAATGTATTGTATGACATAATATATATATATAATTATATATATATTATATCACAGCTATGAATATGACATATACGTGTATATATTATGAATTATACACATATTTTCTGTATGGAACAGATGTCTAAATATCCTTCAGTAGATGTCGTGTCAGAGCGGCGACGTGACCCGAGGATGATGCTCACCAGTGTCCCCGCAGCCCAGTGAGGGCAAAGATTAGCGAGGCTGGGTTCACCAACTGGACGTGGAAGTTGCCGGAGTCGGAAATGTCATTTTTTTTTTGAGTGAGATGATTCTGTGTGATTCCTGATTTCAACCAATTGAAAGGTTTCAGTTTTTATCAACAAACATGGGTAGGCATGACGAATCCAAGGCGTTTTGGACTTGTAGTGAGACTGTCCAAAAAACTTCAGCAATTTCCCCAGAGCTGGGGATGGTTCCCTTTGAATTTGGTAACCATGATTGGGGCAACCCCTCGATCACATGTGGATTGATTGTTTGAATTTGATACTGGGGGGTCCTCCAGACTATTGTATAGAGTTGTTAGCTTTGCAGCTATATTGATCTGAATTTGAGTGGGAGTGGAGCAACATGAACGGAACCAGCCCACCCATGCCAATGTTGTTGCATACATCTCATGGTACCTTTGAGCGTGTGATGCTTACAATGACTTTGATATAGAGATGAATCATAAACAATCAACCAGCAAGGCTGCAGTAATACTACAGACAGGGGACATCCGTGCGCAGAGACACAAATGCGGATCGACGTGCTGATACTACACAAACTATACATATAATGACATAATTATGCTACGTATATATATATATATAGATCTACATATGCATGCATGCATACACACTTTCGTGACATTGCTCCGCAAGAAGTGCATTGTGCAGCAGTCTCACTGCAAGGCTTGGTTAGAGCAAAGCGTTTGCTTTTCTCTCAAACGACGTTTTGCGCGGATGCTCAGAAACTTGCAGAACAGGGATTTGCTGAAACGAGTAGACCACTTCCGTTTTTCACCCTTTCAGTTTGTTCGATGGTACATCTGACCATGCCGTTGTTTAGACATTGATTCTATCTCCACATTCACACGGCACTATGAGATATTCTGCCACTGCATACTCGTATCGCCGTTTGGCTACTTTGAACCACCTTTCCTGGTACCCTCATATCAAACCACAGGTTTGTTCTATAGTGACCTCAAATAGATCCAAATGGGCATGGTTTACAGCTGACCTCAGATGTTTGTCACATTTGCTTCCTTCCAGCAGCCACTTAGCTTAGGTGGTGGCTTTGTCGGTGAATGTCTTTTTCATTGCTACATTGCTGGCCAATGGCATGTGGGGCGGCCAAATGCCGGGAACAGCTGGCACAACGATGGATGAGCTGATTGATTATAATTATGATGATGATGAGGAGGAGGAGGAGGACGAGGATGAGGATGAGGACGAGGATGATGAGGACGGAAGTTGTGTAGAGTCTAAGTAAGGAACATGGAAGGGTTTAAGAAAGGAACTCACTGTAGACTAAGATGGAAGTAAGGAACTCAAACGTTTTCTGTAGGATTTAACAATATGCGGGTCTCACACTTCCGGGTTGGTTAATGTTCCGGAGCCAGACATATAATTCCATCCCCAGAAGGTCAGACTTCTCGAAGTGGAAATGAATAATAGTCTCTTCCAAAGAACATCCCTTTTTTGATCAAACCAACAATCCGTGAAAGTGGACCATGACGGGTAGATTTAATGACTTTTGTTCATGTTGCCAGTTTTTGCCCCTTGTTTCTTTCATTTTTGTTGGTACGATCCATTCTTGGTCATGTTGAACTGAACCTAGGGGCCGAAAAAACGGGGTCCCCATCTTCGGCCATCAGACGTCAGACGATGCTGGCAGGACGGTTCGATACTTCAGCTTGTATTTCACTCAAGTTTTAAGGCGATCCCGAAGTCTGGGAGGTTTTTTTGAGGTGATTATATCATAGTCATGGGGGTACCTCAATGGCTGGATGGTTTATTTCATGGAAAATCCTATACTGCTTGGTGGTTTGGAACATGAATTATTTTTTATTTTTACATATATTGGGAATGTCATAATCCCAACTGACGAACTCATATTTTTCAGAGGAGTAGGTCAACCGCCAACCAGTAATATTTGATCTAATGTATGGTATCTAAGATTAGCAGTGGCTTATAAATCTTATTACTCTAGACTCTGGTATATCAATCATAATATACAATATTTGATATATAACAACATATTTACAAACACAGTTAGGAACTCGCTCCACGAATCACCCCGGAACCCCAGATCCAGCTTTGAAACCTTGAAACCATTGAGTTTGGTCTCTGAGACAAACTTGCAGTATATCCATCAGAAAACATCAACACAAAACATAGATATGAAACGATGTGACCTATCTCGGTCAACGAGAATCTGGATTTTCCGATGAGGTTTCCTCCCTGGTTCCAATGTTCGCCAGGTTTAGCCCCGCCCAGTGTGGAAGCCCGGAAGTTTTCTCCAGGAAAGGTCAAGATTTTTGGGAGAACACGCACCACGAGAAATACATATTTAAATGGTGAGACATCAATATAACTAATGGTTTTACATGGTTTTAAACTGTATATGTTTTTTTCAACCTTTCGCGATTTTCCCTTAACGCATTGATCAATGATGATGGTTTGAACTTTTGGTCCAAAGATTTGACCCTTGGTACCCTTGGAATCACCCCAAAGAACTAAGATTTGTTTCCTTTAAAATGGGCCCCCAGTCATCATCCATATATCATCCATTTATAGATGGGATATCATCCATTTATAGAATTTTATAGATGGGATTTTCCCGTGGAAATAACACCATCCAGCTATTGAATTATTGGCTACCCATGAAGTGACTATGGAAAGCCCCAACCTTTCGATGTTTGATCCATCAACAAAGCAGGGAAGCGATGCTCCAAAGCCCGAGATGTCCCAAGGCTGTGCATGCTGAATGCCGTGTGCAGGCTCGTGACTCAACCACTGGATCCACTGGCTTGGATGTGGGTAATGTTCAACATGGGAAGTCGGTTTAAAATGTGATTTCAACACGGGAAGTGCCAAAGCGGACTCACGTGACCTGGCTAAAGATCGAAATGGGATGATAATAACATTGGTTCCTTTCTGTCCGGTAATTTTCATCACCAAATGATCGGATTCGTCCTATTCCAAAAGTGAGTTGAAACGTTGAAAGGGTCCTTTTCCAGGGACTTTCCAGCCGACTTCTTTTGGACTTTCTGTGTTGAACCCGCCATGGCCTTTCGTGTTGAACGGGGGAAACAACGGTCGCCGCAGGCTTTTTATTGCCGCCTTTGCACAGCTTGGGAAACCTTTGTCAGGTGCGCTGTGTTGTGTTAGTTTGGTGGCCTTGGGACAAGCTCAATGTGGGGTGGTAACATTATGGATCATTATGGGATATATGTGGATATATCCGGTCCTATACTAATATAATATCTAATATATAGCTATATATGGGATATTTTGGTATGATGTACTACCTTAATATCCTATAGTCATGAACTCATAGGGATATCACATGGGATATCACAGGAATCTATGGGAATATTATGGGAACTAGCAAAGTATCATTAGAATCATGGGATATCATAAGAATCTATAGCAACAGCCGAAAACAGAAAGCGAGAAGTAGAAATCGTACTAAAGTCACGGAAAATATGATCCTTTTCAGATCGTTTCAATCTTTTTGGGCTTTCTCCTTGAGTAATCAATCAGAATACGAACTGATGCTTGGCATGAAAGCAGGTCAATGCCCCCAAAAATTGCTATATGAAATTACCTTGAATTTCGTTTAGGTACCCTGGAAGGTCTAGGGAACAGCCTAAATCAAGTCTCGTTTTGTGGCTCGTGTCTCGCCAGTACTGTTGGGTCGCTGCAATTTGGCCTTGGTCCTGCACATAGGACGGGTGGCGAGCTTCACCCCCGGATGAATATCGCCTCCTGTAAAGGTAAATACGGTAGATGTGGCAAACGTAGATGATTTCCGGAAGCGAACAACCATGAAAAACCCATGGGTTTTCCACATCTATGCTAGTTTACCTTAGGGTAAATCATAGTAAATCATCGAATTTCCATTGCCCATCTAATGTTGAGGTACCATTTTACTAGCAGATGAGATCAACCAGGATCAGGATCAAAATTGCTTCGGGGTCAACTGTTCTACGAATGTACTTCCACTTCGCTGAAGGAACAAAACGCATAGAGTACACGTTGCTCGGGCGCTTTGATGTGTTTTTGCCACACATGAGGTATAGACTGCGCAGCTAACATTGCAAGATCCTTTTTTAGTATCTAAGATCAGCCGTGCTCATGAGAGATCTAGCGCAGAATCAGCTCTCTCCTCTCACAGCATTAGACCCAATGGAGGAGACATCGAAGTTGGTTTATGGTATAGAGATCATGCAAGAGACTTAGGGAAGCTTTCTGTGACTGTAATCTGTGACTGTAACTCTAGAGATAGTTGAGCCCAGGCTGCACGTATGATGTATATATATATTATACTATACTCTTAAATCTTGTATTGTAATACCCAAAACGACCTCACCAAGAATGGTGTTCTGTAAGGGTAAGCCAGCCAAACATGTTTTGTTTTTTTCCCTTATTTGGTTTTAGGAATAATTATGGTAGTATGTGTCCATGTAAATGTATATTATTCATATTCTGTATCAGCCTGGCACACTACAAAATACCCATGGGATCATTGAATTTTCCCATCGTGGATCTTTCCAGGATCTGCAATTGCGACCTTGGGCATCTATGGTGGGGGTTTCTTCAATCCTTCAGTGTCGCTCGGCAGCAGGTTTGGGCGAAAAACATCATCCAAAATGGGGATTAAATATGATTAAATACCATCCGTGTTTAGCCAAAACATGGATGATTGTGGATGATTCAATGCATTTGGATGATTTTTCTCCATTTATAGATTTTATAGCCATCTAATCATCTAAAAACGGCCGAGCACGGACATGACTCATCTTGGATCTTGGGGAAACCATTCTTAAGGAGGGCTATTTTTTTTGGGATTGTTCTCCCGTTTTTTTTTTTGAATTTTTACCCGTTTTCTGGTGAAGGAAGGGAGGAAGCAAGCAAGGAAGGAAGGAAGAAATAAACTTTAGCCTACACAAACCCTAAGCCAACCCTAAATAAACTCAAACCAACTTGAAATAACGCCTAAACCAACACTGAACAACCCTTAAGCCAGCTGCAAATAACTCCTAAACCAATCTTAGACAAGTTTAAAAGAATCAAATAACTCCTAAACCGACCTTAAATAAGTTTAATAAAGAACCAAACCCTAAACCAACCCTAAGTAAACCCCAAACCAACCCTACTTAACCCCCAAAAAAAACGCAAACCAACCCCAAACAAACCCTAAACCAACCTTCAAAAAACCCCGAACAAACCCTAAACTAACCAAAGCCAACCCTCAACAAACCCTAAACAAACCAAAAACCAACAATAAATGCATTTCAAACAAGCCACAAATAACCATTAAACAAACCCTAAATCCAATCCTAAAAAGACACTGAAATTAATTCTAAACAATGCCTGAACCAACCCTAAATAAACCCTAAACCATCCCTAAATAACTCCAAACAAACCCTAAACCAACACTGAATAAACCTGAAAGCAACCTAAGCAACCCCTCAACAAACTCTAAACAAACCAGAAACCAACCGTAAATGCCTTTTTAACTAACCACAAATAAAATAACCATACAACCCCTAAAGAAACCCTAATCCAACCCTAAATGCAACCTAAGCCAACCCTAAACAAAGCCTACACCAACCTTCAACAACCCCTAAACAAACCCTATCCCAACGGTAAATGCACTTTAAAAACCAGCCTCCAATAACCACTAAACAAACTTTACTGTAAATACACCCTAAATCAGCCCTAAATAAGCCTGAAACCAACCCTAAAGAAACCTCAGACTCCCTAAACAAACTCTTAATCAACCTTAAACAAACTTTAAACCAACCCTAAATGAATCCTAAATCAACCCTACGCAAAGCCTAAACCAACCCTAAATAAACCCCAAACCAATCTTACCCTAAAGGAACCCTAAGCCAGCCTTCAAAAAAACAAATCCACCCAAACTAACCTTTAAACCAACCGTAAATCAACCTGAGGCAAATACCATGAGAGATCCAAGCTCCAAAATGTTACAAATGCCAGTCGAGTGAGATGTCCAAGCTCCAAAATGCTGCAGACATCATGCTACTGCGAATGAGAAATATGTAAAACATGTGTAAAATAAAGGGTGCACAGTGAGAGATCCAAACTCCAAAGTGCTGCAAGTACCACGCAAATGGAGATCTAAGCTCCAAAACGGTGCGGTGCAAATGCCAGGTAAAACCACCTCAGCCAGAAAACGGGAAAAAACATGCCAAAATGCAGCCCATTCGAAATTAGCTGTAAATTTGGTCAAACACCCAGTTCGTTGAGGGTCTAGCCCCTGCCCAGGATAGCTGGGAAGGGCAAAGATGGGCTGGCCTAGAGTTTTGTTTCCCTTTGATGCTATGGTGATTTGCTCTCTGATTTAATGTGGGCATATATGGGTTTTCCTGGCCAGCAAGATAGAAAATCCAACATGAAGAGTGTAAACATGAATTTAGTTTTCTTAGGCCACTATCAGCAAACATCGGCATTTCTCTGACTTGAAGACCTCGATTTCATTAGGTTTCAAGCTTTACGAAAGTCACTAAGAACAGGTTCGCCTCTCATTTGGGAATAGGTCAAATATTGGAGCGGTTTCTGGCTATTTCTACGGTCAAACTTCTTGGGGACATTACCTAGACATTACCTAGACCATTCTACACTTGTACATTTATAAAGCATTATAAAGCCATGTGGGCCATGTCCTTGACTGGATTCAGAAAATGATGCCTGCGTCATGCATCCTGGGTCTCCCACCAGCGACAAACCCGAGGCTTTGCGCATGCGCTTGCTATTTGCTTCGCTTTGCATGCTGCTTGGGATGACATGGCTATTGGGCAGAACTGGTGGTTGAAGATTTGAAGATGTTCATTGCTATTGCTACATGGTTTTCCCTGTTTCGAGCACTCCTGCGGATTCTTGAATCTGTGAATTCCAGTGCCATCGCCACCACCAACTATCATCATCATCATCATCATCATCATCACCATGATCATCACTAGTTCTATTCTTGATATGTGCAGATTACTACAACCATCATTATACTGTACTACCATCATCATCACCATGATCATGTTCATTTTTCACCTTCCAATTGTAGAGGAACCACCGGACCTGTTTCAGGTTTACATGCCCGAGATCCGGTGCTCTATTCCATCACCATGGATTGTGTACCTCAAAGCCAGCCACTCGCCTGGCTCACCTTAGGGGAATGGCGGTGGAATTGCCTCAGGGGATCGAAACATCGAAGATATATGGACTGTGAAACTGAGGGAATGATGGCGGATGGCTTGTTACATGATGGCTTTTGACATATATCTGGGTAAATTATAACGACCTCACTGCGACCTCACTGGAATCATGGTTCATAAGGGAAATCATTCCCAAATGGCCTTAATCCAGGTCAGTGAATTATTATAATTTACCCAGATATATACTTCCAATTTATTGAGGATTAGCCATCACCCACTTGATGTTGGAAAGGTCATGAAAAACCTTTTCACCAATCACTATTTCGTGGCATGGGAGGAGGGTATGTTTGGCTAAGGTGCTGGCAACAGTGGTACCTGCTGTTGAGGATGGTTTATGTGTGGGGGAAAGAATCCCAAACCACCTTCAAACATGGTTGTTTTTGGTGGGATATTCATGGGGATATATCTGGAAATATAGGGATGTACCCTCTGGTAAATTATCAATAGCCATGGAAATCACCATTTTGAAAATGGTAAATCATCGAACGAAATGGGCCATTTCCATTGCATCCCATCCCATTCCGTGTCATCCTGCAGGTTTTTTCCGATAGTGATTGCACCAATTTACTTTGACTGAGCGATACTTGGGACCCAATGAATTTTCATGGAATAGATCCATATGGGTATGGATCAATACCTATAAAAATACAATTTTTAGTGGGATGAACATCCATTTACCAGCTATTTTGGGGTTCACTACGGTATTACCAGGGTTTTGACACACTGCCATATCACCATATCCTATTCTTCGAAATCCGAATTTAGGTGGCTTTGGATTAATTATACAATTGTAAAATGCATTACTTTGCCCAATTGGCTTATGTTTGAGATGTAAATCATTTTCCTGCATGGCGAATTGTTGCCTCCGATAAAAATCCAGGTGAACTCCTTCATTTTTGCTGGTTGTATTTTCATTTTACTATATTTGATTGTGAAATCCAGATGTTTGTTGGTTACTGTGAATCCTCTTGTTGTTTCCCCCAGGTTTTGATGCTGCAATCCAATGAAAAACCTGTATTTGTGCAGGTTTTTCATCTCACATGTTTTGCAGATTAAATCACCAGGTTCCCTTACTGGTGCTTAGTAGGGAATGAGGGAATGATCCATAATCACGAGTAATAATGATCCCATTCCCCCATTTTCCATTCCCTACGTTTAGCACCAGTTTCCCTTATTTTCGGACATGGACTACCCTCTGGTAATGACTAACAGTTCGCTATTGAAAATGGCCCAGTCGAAATAGTGGATTTTCCCAGCTAGAACATGGTGGATCTTTCCATAATATGGTTATGGTGAATGGCCCAGTCGAAATCGTAGATGTTCCCATTAAACATGGTGATTTTCCATGCATGGTTATGGCGAATGGCCATAGAAATCGTAGATTTTCCCATTAAACATGGTGATTTTCCCAGTAAACATGGTGATTTTCCATGGTTATGGTGATGTTTACCAGAGGCTAAGCTCCAAAATCCACGTCTTTTCCCTGGTGAATCGATCGAGTTGAGTCGAGTTGAGGCGAAGCCGCTGGGCTGCGCTGAACTCGCAGGGGCAGCTCAGTGGGGAGATGGGTTTCTAGCCATCATTTTGATGGAGGGTGAACCATGGTGAACCAGTAAAATGAATATATTCATGTATATGATATATATATATATATTACTATAATTATACTGACACTATTATAATTATACTGACACTACACCCATTATCATTATATAAATTATATATATATATATATAATACATATATAATTATATATATATATATTACCATTTACATCCATTTACCATATACTGAATATGGCTTTCTCTGAAAATTGGCTACCCCCAACGACCCTCCAGGCTGCGCACCTTGTCTTTCAGCGCCTCGGCCGTGCTTGGCGGCTTCTTGGCGGCTCGGGGCACCCAGGGGATCCCAGGGGATTTAACCAGAAAACATGGTGATTTAACCAGAAAACATGGTGATTTAACCGGCAACACTAATATGTTGTTTCAACAATGAGGCTCCAAAAATGTACACATCATGCATCAACGCAATGGATTTTCCCAAGATGTACACATCATATGGTATTCATCATGTTTTTCATCCCCGTTTCAGCCCGTTGAAATCCAGGATCGACACGGCTATCAGTTCTCCTTCACGGTGACCAGCATTTTGTTATTGGCCCCTGGGCAGAGCTGCGGACATGACGCCGATAACATTGGGATACATTGGCTGCAGCTAAAGAGCTAACATGGGCCACATTTTCATGGGAAAATGAAGTTCTCAACGTCTAAACCAATGGATTTTCGGTTGTTCCCATCATTTTCAGATCGGCCAATAGGTTGGACAATGGCAGATTTACTTCGATGATTTGCCGTTTCGAAAATGGTGATTGTCCACACGCTATTTGGATGTATTTGGTATAATGTGGTACACCCAAACCATCCCTAAAATCCCAGAAATAGGTCGTAGAAACCCTTAAGAAAGGATAGGTTTATAATGGTTTATATTTAGTTTACCACATGGATTCTTTGTTGGTGGTTTGCAAGTATTTAGTTCTGTGTAAAATCTAATGACCTCATTGTAACGTCGTGAATCATTGATGGTGAGCGTACGGATGACTATCCCAAAATTACCTAATTTCAGGTTGGTGCATTTATCTCCAGATATATTCCAAAGAGTATTGCCTCATTTTAACCCCATCATATTAGTTATAAAATGATAAACCATATTAACCTATATTAAACCATATTAAGTCATATTAAACCATATTAAACCATATTAAACCATATTAAACCATGACTTATCATGTCATATCCCCATGATTCCCATCCAGATTTCTTGTTCATCCCATCCGATGGGGGATCTCCCAATTTCACCGCGGCCAAGGCTTGCACGATTTTCATGTTGCCAGCAATCCTATGGTTTCCACGAAAGGACGATGATGACTGGGCGCTGTTTCCGGTGGCACAAAAAGACTGGGTGACTGGGCCCCCAAAAAAACTTAGGATATACGAAGTTGGTGCAAATCACTAGCTCAACCGTGATTTATACTATTTGAATTGATTTATGGTGTAGATTACAACTGTAGTTAGAAGGGGTTACACAGCAACTTATGACTAGGGGGCACTACACATGTTTTTCTGGACCTCGAATAACTAGGGGTCGCACATCCCTTTGGCATTCTGCGAGAGCAAAGGTGCCATTTCATTTCGAAATTGGGTCGTTCGTGATTGAAAGTCCACAAATTCTCCGTGCCGGGAAGAATGCTTGTCTTGAAACCCAGTTGGTACTCATGTATATGGGTATGTGTCAAAATTGGGTACCCCAATAATTTGATGGTTCATAATTACCAACAATCGACCGAAATCGCTGGTCCTCTAAGTCTTAAATTGTGACCTATACTTTTCAACTACATGTTGTTCAGTCTTATTCCACAAGTATTTATTAAATTGTCGTATTAGTCGTATTGTTTCTTGTACATGATGTATATGATGTACTTATTCCATTACATATAATTTATTGATATATTCCGAATATAGTACATAGTGGATGTAACATACAATATAATATAGTGTAACGTTTTATATAACGGAATGCAATGCCTTCAGAAGATTGTTCGTGGCTCGAGGAGGGCGAGCAAGCCCAGGTGGGGATGATTGGGTTGCAACCCTAAGCATATGGGATATTTAGGGCTTACAGTTAGATGGGGTTATAAATGAAGCGACAAACATATGAGTTGTTGTTTTCTTCCATGAGAGTAGATGTCCCCTTCAAAAATCTTCAAAATTGAACATGTTCCATTGCCAGCATTTTCAGTGGAGGGTAATCAACCAATATCAACCAATAAAAGGGGAAGTGAAAGCAACAACGGGGAAGTATGGCATTATTTGCTTCGGCACAGTTTCAGAAACAGTTGAAACAGCTGTGTGTTTATCATCCAGCAGTCTCGGTTCTCAACCTGCAACATGATGTACAAAGTAAACACCTCACCAGGAATACCAATCTCGAGCACCAAATAAGTTCCTCCCATCTACGGGTGACTCAATAGCCCAATACGTGGGGAACCACCCAAGAGCCCTTGCGCTTGCGATGATCCTGTTGAACATGGCAACTGCCGCAGGAAACCATGGTTTGATTACACGGTGAAGTTATCGCAAGTGGAAACCCATGGGTTTTTACCCCCAAATAGTTTGGGTTGTCCGTGCAGATCTTCCCTGAAACTACTGCTGGGAGTTTTATCCAAGATTTTGCAGCTTTCCCCTGTGGGTATCTATAATATCACCTGGCAATGGAAATCAGAATCGCAAACCAAATGGCAGAATTTCCACAGATTAGCATGGAGGTTTACCTGGAGAATGGCTTAAACTGATCTAAAAGAAGAAATGACCCTGAATGGATTGTTCTTGGAACTAGTTTATGGCAAAGGTTCTTTTCAGATTATGCCCAGTATTAGTAGCCTCCTGCTTTGAGATACTTTCATGGCCACCACACCATAGGAATATAAAGGGAACGCAGATATGCCAGAAGTATTTGAGGATGGGATATCTTATATGTCTATATCTCTCATTATCTCTCTATACTTCAGCTGTAACGTATATAATATATGACTTAAATGTGAGGCAAAACCTGATACGATCAACTGCTGTTTTTGGTGCAGGCTAGGGATTATGAAAATAGAGAGAACCATGGTTTTATTACACCCATAACTCGGGATATAACCTCTTAAAACAAACAATAGTGAAAGTACGTTCAAGTATCACTAGAACTGCACCTGCAACTATACAATATACATATATATGTATATATATATATAATAATAATAATATATATATATATATACCAGCACCGCCAAAGGGGCCCCACTGTGTTTTTGGAAGTTGATATCTTTAAGGGGTCCCACTACGGGAACCCTTATTCCCAAGGTCATACCAACTGTTAAAAACATATGTGCTGGATATAGTAAGATATATTTGTAGGTATTCTTTGGTAATCTTATCAAATAACCCCATTCCATCAATCACCAGTTCACACCTGGCTGCGCTGCGGCGGCATCGGCTGGACCAGCTCAACATTTTGGAAAGAGGCTCAGAAGGTGCCAACGGGAGTCGTTGGAAATGCAGTCGCCGAAAGCTCACAGTACACAAAATGACAGCATAAAAAAATACATAGTGACATCTTTTGACATTTAGAGTATATACTCTAGCTTGTTCTGTGAGTCTTCGAAGCCAGCGCACGCATGTATATGCAGCGTAGCGTGACAGAACTTGTCGTCCCATCTGGTTGGGATATGAAATCATCGCTAATTTCTTCAGTTTTCCCATCGCGTCCTCATCTGTATAGCAGATTAGTTTCAGTGGAGAAACTTCTGGAGCACAGTCGTAGACGATATGGTCTAACCTCACATGGTGCTGTTTCCTTTCTGTTTTGCTCGATATCTTCAAGTGCTTGTTTTCTTTTCTTTTCAAACTTTTTGAAAGCCTCTGTCGGAACAGTTTGAGCTTTGAGTGCCCTCATCTTCTCAGCGCTCACCTGCCCAGGTAAAGTAGCCGACATAGCCCCCCAGCCAAGTATTACATCAGTGTTCGTTGTGATATAAATAGTGGAGCATGTGCATATGCTCACATGAAAATGAAACATCAGGGATAGTCAGCCATATATATATAATATATAAACAAATACTACTTACAGAGTTTTCCCTACTCAATAGGGTTAGCCAGCCTCAAACTCTTTTCCATCCGGCATGGCTGGAACTAGATCGACTAGGTTGTTCCCGAAAAAACCCGCTGGAGCCACAGAATAGATCGATCGTTTTTTTTGACCAAACCACCAAAAATGAGATTTCACGACACGAAATGACACGCCCCCTGAACTTGGTGGGCACCCCCGACACTTTTTAAGGGGTCCCACTACGGCACCCCTTAGCCTAAGGGGTCCCACTGTGGGACCCCCAAGGAACCACCCGAGACACGCCACTGACACGTTTGACACGCGCCTTTTTTGGGATTTGGATAGATTTGGAATTTTCTCAGATTTCTAGCCCAAAACATTTACCAGATTACGTTTGGGATTTTACCGTAACTTGCCCAACGAGCTTGCAGGCTCATGGTTTGAAATGGAGATGAACCCTTTTTGCTCGGTAAAAATATCATTTTCCAAAAGATTATGCCCAGCTGTTGTCATTCCCCAAAATGCATTGTCCCATACCATAACCTTATTGTTGGCAGACTTTCCAAAACCTTATTGTTGGCAGGGGATGATGTTGGAACATGTGCTCACCAGGAAATAAAAGTAAACAATTTCGTATCAACTCAGTTGAAGACGAAGCCCTTTCTTGTTGACAACAATGTGTAAGGCTTGTCTCATAGAGTTCTCACGTAGAACTTTCTTGAGGGAGCTGTCATGGAATGCTGCTCGCAGCCACTGATTGGCACTAACGCGGATGTCTCCGCCAGGCCAAAACTCACCAGATCGTCGGATCCATTCAATACATTTATCATCGATACGGGCCATCAACGCTTTTGCCATGATCCTTATTCACAGTCATGGTTTTTAAAAATGAATGTTGATGTTTTTTTCGCGATGAAACCCTCCAAATATGTTGTTGGACAAGGCTCTTCGCCTCATCATTGAAATCCTTGCTGCCACTCTTGCGCTTCGGCATGGCAGATGTCCAACGACGGAATTTCCTTCTAATGATACTTAACATTGTGTTGGGGTACCTTGCACCTCTAGTAACTCTATTACCTATCTGTTTTAACTTGGGCCATTCATTGCCAACCATTCCATAGCTTTGAAGGTGTTGTACCTGATGCCCATGCCTTTGGTCGATCATTCCTACATGAGCCGGTGGCCAGGCTGCAGTGTGGCCATTGCGGGCGAACCTGGGCCCTCAGCGATCAAAAATTGAGATGCATGGTCAAGAACCCTCCAAACTACCTCTAAACCACCTAAAAAAATAAGGGGGTCCTACTGTGTTTTTTGGCTAAGGGGTCCCACTACGGCACCCGTTTGGTACCCCTGGTATATATATATATATATTTCATTCAGGTATTGCTATGTATACACTGTATATATAACATTATTACTATGACTATGTATCCATGTTTGGTGGTTAGTCACAGCCCTGTTTTCGTTGACCAGGCCTCCTCCGATTCGCTCATCGAGGAGAATGAGGAGACGCCCAGGGAGGCGGAGGTGCAAGCCGTTGCTCGGAGGAAGTTAAGTCGGTTATCCTCCAGTGTCAGTGTCGTGGCCCAGTGGCTGCAAAATCCCCTATAAACAATGGGAACATGTGGGAGAATCATACCCATAGGATCCATGTATGGTATATATGCTAACATTTGGGGTATATTGATGGTAAATGTTACCATATATAGCATACATGGATCCTATGGGATATGATGGAAAAAACCTTTCTCAAAAACGGGAGGTTTATATATAGCTGGGGGGAAATCATCGAACTTGGGAAACTCAGAGAAAATAAGTCGACACTTCGAATAGCAAAATTGCTGCCAATTTGCCCGAATTCCATGGTTTATTGTCAATTTATTGTAGATATATCGAATTCGTCAATGGGTGTTAGAAGGCAACGCAAAAAAAAAGTGGAAAATATCTGTTGACTTTAATAAACCAAGGAAACAAGGTATTGTTGACCTTATAATGTTTGATGGGAAACCCCAGATAATGGAGGAAAAATGGGAATCTTGGAGGAACACTTGTTGGGGGAATTTGCTTGAACATTTGTTTGAAAAATGGGACCGCCCAAATAATTGGAGGAATAATTGGAACTTCATCAAAGGGTAGTTCTTGAATTTTCATTCTACAAGCCATCGAATTCCAATCAACAGTGGTTATAACCTAAGGATTGATAGGAATTAACAGGGTTAACCACTGTTGATTAGAATTAACTGGCTGAATTAACTGGTTGATTGGAATGCTATTAACCTAAGAAATTGCAGTAGATTGATAGAATTAACAGGGTTAATTGAGCCAGGACTGTGATGATAACTCACTGATGATAGAATTAACCCAGTGATAATTCCAGGGAGCATCCAAGCTTGGTCGGCACGGCTGATATGATTTGAAAGTCCAATTTGACAATCCACCAGAATGTTGAATCGTTGTTTATTCACTTGGGGCTTTCGTAAACCGGGGGATCCCCAAAAAATCCATGGGTTTCAATACTAAAATAGTTGAAGTTTGGACGATTTGGGGTACCCATCATTTTTGGAAACTCCCATTGTTTTTTCAAAGCCCACGCACCTCCGAAATTTGGGATCGGGGATTCGCGCTAAAGTTTCACCGATGCCAGGATGGGTCCCCCCAGTGATGTTTATTGGTTTATAACCCCATCCAAATGTTGTTATAAGTATCACACACTATTGTTATTATACTTTTAAACCAACTTGTTGCAAACTATGGGGCCCCACCCTGTACCAACTTTAAACTGAGGTTATTTGCATGTAACATCCAAGATTCATGGTGCGCACTGGGTTGGGTTCCAGCCAGACTCCAAAGGTGATGATTCAACAAGGACTAGCGATCACCATGACTGGGGATGGTTTTGATGCCGAAAAAAGGGTGATGACTTGGGGATTGTTTACGGATATATGATATTAAACATGATATAACCGATATAACCACACTTTGCAAAGGGGAATAATGACAATCGATTTTGGGAAGTGTTTATGGTTGGGTTTACCACATTATTCCAAATATGTGGTCAGCTCGGTTCCCCATTTTAGGGGTCTTACGCTGTCATTTTAGGGATGAACCCAGCGACCGAATCGAGGCCCCGTCGCGACCACTGTGAGTGGAGTAGTAGATCAGTGCTGATGCCCTGAAAAAGGACGGCTTTGCGGGATGGAGGTATTAAGAGGACTATGAGACCACAAGTTTGGTCGAAGTCAGAATTGATGTCTTTGCCAAAACAGATAGATTTTGTGAAGCCGTTAAGACCCGCTCTGAATTTCTTTTTGTTGGTTATGGGTTTTGTGTCGCTTGTCTTAACTTGTTGCATTTCCTTCCATCATGTTTGATCCCAACGCACAAATTTGCATCTTTGCCTCTTTCCATCATTTGCCCGAACAAACAAAACAGGCAAGACGTGGGGAGAACACACAATTGTCACGCTTCAACATGATTGTAATACCTTTTGAAATCATGTGTAAACTCATTGATTGCCCTATTTCTATAGAGAAAACACTTTAGGGGATCATGCAGTACGTACAAGTTGCGGGGTCCAAATCGGGGTACCAATCGACCCGCACCTATTATGATCTATTATGTTTAGTTTCAAACCAGACATCATAGTCGGATTTGGTAGGTTGATACTTTTGAGCCATACCCAATGGCAAATGTTGTGCCAATGATTTCACTGCATTTCTTGGATTTGTCTTGGCGTGTCCGCAACTTATACTGCATGATCCCCTAAAGTATCGTCTTGGTAGAATAGGGCCAACATGTTTTTACATATTGTTCACACATATTTGCAAAGACTAGACACAGATTGCATTCTATTACATCGGCAAATGGGGTTCCCTAAATTATGATATTTTGCATTGGGTTGCGGTGGCTGCAGCAGATGCCCATGGTGATCCCCACTCAACATGCAGGGAATTGGATGGCAGGTCGGGTCGTTTCGGCGGGTAGAACGGTAGAAGCATCAAGACATGGGGACAATGATGGTGACAAGTTCCATCCCAAAAGACGCAGGATTTCTCCCATGGAAAATGCCAAGCTAGTGCTGATATAATATGAGATAATGGGATTCAATGATGCGAGTCTTTTGCTGCTAGTTTCAAAGGATTTGTATCGATTTGTGAATTTTCCACTGGAGACGGAAAGGGATGTTGATCCCAATTCTCTTTCATACCCCTTGTCATTCTGTTTGGGATGGGTTGACACCACCAATCAGTAAGCATTGTACAGTAAACATTCCCTTGTTTGAACTAGGCATTCGATCAATTCAAAATCAACTCACCCGCCAGTCTACTGCAAATGCGGAGCAACTTTCAATCGTACGGATTCAATTGTACAGATTGGTGGTTCCAGTGATTTAAGTGGTCATCTTCAGTATGCTTCTATGACTCATGACCATCACTTGGGGGGTCGGTAAATTAACATAGCCATGGAAAATAACCTCGTGTCTTATATTGATACAATAGGTAAAACTAGGCAAAACATCCACAGATGGATCATTTCCCGTGGCTATTGCAATAACCAAATGGTATATCCTATTGAGCAAATAGTTAATTAATTTGAATCGTTGCGTATATTTCCCTCCATCTATCCAGTGACTCAAGGTTTCTATCCAGTGTGTATATCCAACGTTTCGGAACTCAACGCGTTTCGGTGGAAGGTTTTTCAAGATGTTCAGGCTGATGACTGGGAGTTTGCCACGGTGGTCTTGCCACAGGCCGGCGTGGCGCGGGATTTTTCACCTTCGCAAACTGTCAGCATAGTGGAATTGACCCGTATCGGGATAATACTAGATATTGCTGGAATTTGCTGTAGATATACAGTAAAGATGCATGTCAATATATGATTTGTTTCGATATTCTCCATCTTCTATGTCAGTGCATATTTGTGGATGCCTTGGGGGAGAGGCCAGCGTCTTAGACTCTGGAGAGATTGGATGTGTTCGGGCGCCCTGGGACCCCCGCCTTGGGATGTTGATGATCGCCCCAGAATGGTGTCATGCCCAGCAATTTGGGGGCAACCATGGTGGTTTCAAGTGGTGATTTATCCATTGGTTCAAGAGATAGAATGCAGTGCAGGTTTTGATTTAGCATCATATTTGGAGTTTCCCATGATTTGTGTCCCTTCAATCATTTCTGAGAGAGATGGTTTTTGTGTCAAGAAGGGATTCCACAGGCACGTATAGGCACCCCAAATGTGATGTTTTGTCAATGTTTGTCACAATGTTCCCTGTTTAAAGTTGTCATTCAACAGGGATACGTAGGGTATTCACACTGTGAAACACAATAATATATCAAATTTATGTATGTTCTATGTTTGTTTGGAAAATCATCTAAAAGCTGATACAAGATGAAACAAGCCAAACATTTGCATTGCCACATTGATTACTAAGGATACCGAGAAAATATGTTTGACAGTACAAAACATGACCAACACGTGTTGGTCAAAATGGATGTGTATTTTGTCCCAATGGGCATGGCATATCTCAAAATTTATCTAGTGTTTTGTAATCTGACGTGGCAGTGAAACTAGGGGTTTTCAATTACAACACTGGATTCCCACCAAATAGCACTGAAGTTGCATAGCAAATTGCCAGGAATGATCTCAGCAACCAATTTTGCAGGTCACTTAGTGACTTAGTACCCCTTATATTGAGCCATACGCCATGACCCTATAGAGTTGGGTCAACTACAAGCATGTGTATGTATATATTGCATGTTATAACTATGGGATCTGTGCCGATCGCTCACTCAACGGAATGGATATCACTACTGTCAACCCGGGATAAAAAAGAGCTGGGTTGTTTCCCGGGTTTACTCTGGTCCACTCTTAAAGGCATTTTTTGCGTAAGGAACCCGTCCTTAGTTTGTGAAGAAAGGACGAAAGGAAAGGAAAGATGCCAGTTTTCAATGTGGGGAAGTTGGGGATGCCCGTTTGAGCGATAAAAAAATCAAGCCAGACTGCCCATCCCATGTTTGGTGGTTTTGGGGATGATTTTCTCACCAGTTTTTGATTGGTCGGCAACTCTTTGTGTTTTCTATCCCTATTTAAGAATATGTGTTTTTTGTCTTGTTTTGCTCTAAGAAGTACTACGATTCCCCGAAAGATGAGTCCAGCAGAAATGGGACTAGTGGCACTACCCGACCAATTTCTTGGCGAAAACATCGCCTTGTTGTTCCGGGCTTCCGCCCAGGCCAAAAAGTATTCCAAGTGGGAGCAGGTTCGGATTGGATTTGGTGAGCCAATCCAATTGTTTTTTGGGATGCAAGTTCAGAATACCCTCTGGTAAACTAACATAACTATGGAAAATCACCATTTTTAATGGGTAAATCCACTATAAATGGCCATTTTCAATAGCTATGTTAAATTACCAGAGGGTAATGACCTTGGACGACTTGGAGTTTGAGTTTCACTATTTTGGAGACCCCCATTTTCTTGTTGGCAGTTTGCAGGAATGCGATGCCAGCCATGCAAGGAAGGAAGCGTCTCGAGAAATGGTGGGGGCACTCAGGATACTTCAATGATGTTCAGAGAGTTATGAATAAATTGACTGAATAAATGGATGGTTGGATGGTGTTATTTTCAAGTTCAGGATCAATTTCTAATTATGGAGGCTGCAGGATGAGTACTGGTACGATGCTTGCCTGAAATTCTTCCCTTGAATCATGAATCCCGTGAAATTTCAAGGTCTCTGCTGCTTCCCAAATGGAACAGGGCCACTTCGAGGCGGCGACGGGCGCCATTGGATCATGAGATCATGATGGGAGTTTCCCTGAAAAATGAGGGGGGGGTTCCTAAGCTGAGGGATCCCCAGTAGCTGGAGGGTTTATTTCATGGAAATCCCAATCTAAAATGGATGATTGATGATAACTGGTGGTAGCCTTATGGTGGCTACCGAGACCCTCCCAGTACCTCAAAAAAATGAGAACAAATGAGGGCAATATGCCCTGACTTGGGACTTTGTATCAATTTGACAATGGCTACTTGGAGGGTTATTTAACTATACTGTATATATATATATAGTTTTTCTCTATGCAACTTGCAAATAGTGGAAGTTTGCGGAATGTTTTTTGTGTTGCAGGGTTGTTGCTTTGCAGTTTTTCCGGCCGCAACATGTGAAGTGGGTCCTTATTTGGGTCCTCATTTGCCTTTCATGACTTCATTCGTGGATTTGTCTGAAAATATGGTACCCGAAAATTTGAGAGATTAGCATTTTTCTCCTTATTAAAATGACTCTTTGGGGGGTATATCCACCATTTTTATTCCATTTTTTGGGTCATATTGTCCTCTCCATTTTCTTTATGACAGGACGGCTTGGTCTGCGCTGAACGCGCACTGGGGACCTTCAGAGCCCAAGGCAGTAGCTGGAGGGGAGGGGACCACTTTTTCTATGGTCCTGTTTGGATGACTTGGTCCAATTTCAGGAACCAAAATTTGACACATGTTGACCATTTGCCAAAAATCGGAAGCTGCTTTCTGCCTTTTTCCCGAGAGCGTCTGAGCGCAGGGTTCTTCCAATAGTGGGGGTCTGTATCTCATCTTCTCATCTTCACACCTTCTCTCACACCTTCTCTCACACCTTCTCATTTTCACATCTGCTCATCTTCACATCTTCTCTCACATCTGCTCTCACATCTGCTCATCTTCACATCTTCTCTCACATCTGCTCATCTTCACATCTGCTCATCTTCACATCTGCTCATCTTCACATCTGCTCATCCTCACATCTGCTCATCTTCACATTCTTCACATCTTCTCTCACATCTGCTCATCTTCACATCTGCTCATCTTCACATCTTCTCTCACATCTTCTCTCACATCTGCTCATCTTCACATCTTCTCTCACATCTGCTCATCTTCACATCTGCTCATCTTCACACCTTCTCTCACATCTTCTCATCTTCACATCTGCTCATCTTCACATCTTCTCTCACATCTCTCTCACATCTTCTCTCACATCTGCTCATCTTCACATCTTCTCTCACATCTTCTCTTACATATTCTCTCACATCTTCTCTCACATCTTCTCTCACATCTGCTCATCTTCACATCTGCTCATCTTCACATCTTCTCTCACATCTGCTCATCTTCACATCTGCTCCTCTTCACATC